CGATTTTACACCAGCTGCATGCCGCCGCGACACGGATTTCCTGACCCACACACCTCTTGCTGCTACTCCACACCGTGTACGATTGTGTGATAACGACTTCCCTGCGTAAATAAGTGCGCGACTGCAAATCTTTTGAGACTTAGGTTCGGAATAGAACAATTATAAATGCAATAAGAATAAAAATTAACTCACTCCATTTTTCTCGCTCTCTTCGTGAATAAGACAGGAACCATACACGTATCGATAGTCGCGCATATTGAGGTCATAGCAGTAGCGAGGGAATTCTAAGGCTAAAATAGACCGTATAATATGTTTTACTGTCGTAACTACTAATTAATTTTACATTCTGTGGAAAGAAAATAGAAAACCTACATAGAAATAGAAATAGAAAACCTACATATATCACTTAATTTCATGTCTGTGCAGTGGATACTGCCGTCATCCTGGAGAATTGCCCTGCAGTCACCAGCAAATTCACAGGAAGACAGTAAATCATCACCGGGTTTACTTTCATCGCTCACATTCAAGGGGATGATCATTCGATGCAGAAGAGGCTTGAATCCAGATTCCTGAAAATATCAGCTTTCACACAGATTCTTGAGCAACTGTGGTAAGTAGGAATAGACCAGAAAAAAGGTAAAACTAGTCCACTTAAGTTAATTTCAGCACCACCATTGTAACGTGCAGAGTTCGGGAAGCAGCAGATCAAAGGAAGTGAGAGCAGGAGTGCTGGCACTGAGTAAGGCTTCGTCCATGCTTCTGACGGCGTCCACCAACGTTTGCCAGCGTACAGCAGCGTCCAGCAGTGGGGAGTATGGGGAGATAGAAGGGTAGAAGACAGCTGAATCAAGTGTCGTGAAACTATGACGCGTGCAGTCGCACGTTACAACTGCACCTACCGTACTTCAAGATTGTATAGTTCTCTGGTTTAGCAGTTGTAATGCACACGTCAATTTCACGAACCCTTGCAGTGTCATGAGCCCTTATCCAGCTGTCTGCTACCCTCCCAATTCCCCATACTTCCCACTCCTAGATGCTGCTGTTCGCTAGCAAACGCTGGTAGACGCTGGCGTTCGCTGGATCAATGTCTCTGCTTTCTTAGCGGCTGACGCTCGCTCGGAACGCTATACGCTGGTGGACGCTGCCGCGAATGAACGCAGCCTAAGCTAACTGGGGCGAGGGACGCGACAAAATGCTGAGTCACCCAGTGCCACGGTTGATGTGTCCTGAGACAGATACAGTTAGGGTGCATTCATACTTTTCACTGGCTTTTCGTTTTGAGCGTTTTTAGAGCTCTGAACACCAACTGATACTGGTAGTATGCTTTTTTCGCTCAAGGTGCTGGTCGAAAAAGCCCGAAGTTCCGCCCCAGTGTCGCCGCCACGGGGTGTGGTTTCAGGACATCCAAGACGCGCAAACTAGCAGATTATTCCCTAGCTAGTCGACTTGGAACGCTGCTGCATTGCCACGTTGAATAGTCGGATCCTGAAGTGAACACCAAACACGTGATTTCGCTTGATATCGCACCTTTAGCCACATTGCCGCCGTTTGGATGTGCTGAACTACACCTGTCGCAATGTGACTCCCGCTCAACTACCTAAGCGAACAGACGATTTTGGTCAAACGTCGAAATAGCATAAGTAGGGGTAAGACATCGTTATGTAGAAAAGTAGTCTGGAAGGACAGAAGAAGGAAGATTAGGGGGAAGAAGGCCTTAGTCTAAGAGGGTAGGGGACGAACTCCCCACAAAATTCTCGCCAAAGGGTTCTAATTGTTGCAGTTAACCTAATAATAGCGTTTAGTGCTTCTAAGGCAGCCTACCTTCATGCGGAATCCTCCTGTACGCATATGCTCCAGAAGTAAATCACCGAAATTGCCCGGTTCAAAAATTTTTGCATAATCAGAACAAGGAAACCGTCTTTCTCGTAGGAATTTGCATGGTGGAATGTGAAGAATGCGTCTGATGTCACCTAAAAGGCACAAGGCATAGCCGATGTCACTGAAAGTCAGTCGGGGGGGGGGGGGGG